TGGGCAGGGGAGGGCTTCTCACAGGGCGGGGGTGAAGGGCATGGGCGCTGGAACCACACCGCCTGCCTTCAGTCCTGGCTCTGACACGAGCTGAGTGACCTGAGACAAGTCGTTCATGTCTGTGCCTCAGTTTTCTCATCTGTAAAGTGGGGGCAGGAACGGTACCGCTCAAAGGATTGCGGTGAAGACTGAATGCAGAGCAGGAGGAAGGGCGGCCAGGCAGGGGGCGTGTGTCTAGATGTTTGTGGGAGCCTTCCCACCTCCCCCAGGAATGACCTGTGCCCATCTGACAGCGAGAGCAGAAGTAATGCCCTGGCCAGTCTGATTCAGTAGTTAGAGCGTCGGCCCGTGGACTGAAGGGTCTCGGGTTTGATTCCTGTTCAAGGGCATGTATTTCGGTTGCAGGCTCAATCCCTGGCCTCCGTTGGGGCGAGTGTGGGAGGCAGCCAATCCGTGGGCCTCTCTTACATCGATGCTTCTCTCTCTCTGTGTCTCTCTCCCTCCCCTCCCCTCTCTCTAAAACAGTGGTTCTCAACCTTCCTGATGCCGTGACCCTTTAATACAGTTCCTCATGTGGTGGTGACCCCCAACCATCAAATTATTTTCGTTGCTACTTCATAACTGTAATGGTGCTACTGTTACGCATCGTCACGTAAATATCTGCTATGCAGGATGTATTTTCATTGTTACACATTGAACATAATGAAAGCATAGTGATTCATCACAAAAACAATATGTAATTATATGTGTGTTTTCCGATGGTCTTAGGCGACCCCTGTGAAAGGGTCGTTCTACCCCCAAAAGGGTCACGAACACAGGTTGAGAACCGCTGCTCTAAAAAAATCAATGGGAAAATATCCTCGGGTGAGGATTAAAAAAAAGAAAAAGAGTAGAAGGAGTACTCGCCACTGACCTCTCGGGCCCCAGGCGTGGTCTCGGGCAGAATGCTAAGCACTTGCTATCCAGTGGTTTACTTGGTCCTCACACGCACCCCGAGACAGCGTGAGGGCCCCCCGCCCTATGCACACACTGGGGATGAAGTTCCTTCCCCGATGACCCCGCTTGTGCGAGGCAGAGCTGGGATCTGAACTGTGGTCTCGCCAATCCCATGCCCCGCACCCCTGCACCCCTGCACCGGGGCTCCCAGTGGGGCTCCTGGCTGTCTAGGGGCCCGAGTGCCTCCTGCGCGGTGGCCCCGAGGACGGGGCCCGGGACTTTGCCTGCAGGGCTCCCGCCCGGGGCTCTGCCAAGTCCCACGCTTCGTGGGTCAGGGCTGTGGGCACCTTTGAGACCACAGCTGGGCCTGCTGGGCCCACTGACCCACAAGAGCTGCTGGCCAGGCTGGTTGTCTTGTCCTTCCTTAAGCGTGATCCTTGGTCCCTGGCCAGTGCCAAGTCCCTGGGCCACCTCTGCCCCTGTGCCCACAGGAGCCCTGATGCCACTGTCCAAGCTCAGGCGGGCATCGAAGGAGCTGACTGGAATCGGGGCCCTGCCCCTCACTGGCTGGGGCTCCAGCGCCAGGCCCCTGGGCTCTTGGAGCCTCCTCCTCATTTAAACACGGGGCCAGTGGGACCCCCTTGCTATGGAGGCTCTGCTGGGGGGACCATGAGTACTCGGTAAGGGATGCGAGTGGCTGTCTTGGCATTATTTCCCGTCTCACATGGCCCCTGGGCATTTTCTTTGTAGGCAAGAAACCCAATAACAATCATACCTGTCACTTTGCAATTTGCAAATCGTTTTTATGGGCATTTATTCCTCGAGGGATGGAAAGAGCGGGGCCGTTGTGTCGCTTAAAGGACTCACTCTTTATATAAGGTGCCTGGCACGGCATCTGGCACGTAAGGAATGCACCGGAAGTGCCAGCTGTCGTGTTGGGGGTGCTGTGGTTCTCACTGCGCCCATTTAAGGGGTAGGCAGACTGCGGGTCCGAGAAGGCAGTGGCTCCAGGTCCAGGTGCGAGGGAGGTGATGGAGCCGGGACGCTATCCCATGTTGCCTCTGGCCTAGCGGTCAGAGCCTGAGGACCGGGACACGGCGCTTCCCAGCCCTGGGCGTCGGGCCCCGTGGCTGAGATGAACGGGCCCCATAGTTGAGTATCTGTCAGCGGACCATGGTGCCGAGGGGCTTTCGAAGCGTCCTGCAGAGCTGAGCAGGGTTTAGCCGGAAGAGGCCGGCCCCAGGACTTGCCAGGACTCTGCTTTCATTCATCAGAGAGCGAGGGCCTCCCAGCAGACAGTTCTTCTCGGAGAGCCCCGAAGCCGCCGTCAGAGGAGGCGGTGGGTGCGTGACGCGCCCTCGAGGCATCCTTACGGGCGCGGACAGACGCTTTGTTGGTGGTGACATCTGGAGTCTTTCAACTCCGAGTGCCTGTAGACATGCGGACTCTGGGGCCTTCGTCTCACAGACGCAGTCGGCCGGGCCGGGAGCAGCCGGGATGGTGGTGGCCGGGTCAGCACGGAGACCCGCACTCCGGGAGACGGACCTCAGCTCGCAGGGGTCCGCGGTGCCCTTGAGGACAGTCCCCGGCTCCTGCGAGAAAGTGCCGCCTGCCAGCCCATGGCCTTCCCCTGGCATGAAAGATCCGCCCTAATTGGCTGCCAGGGCCTCCCCGCTGCCTAGTGATGCCACCTGAGTGTGTCCCTTTCCTGTCACATCTCCCAGCTCCCCTGTCAGCTCCGCTCTGTGAACACAAACAGCCAGTCTACCAGCCCAGGAGATGTTCGGGGTTTCGGTCATTGGCGGGCAGGGGAGGGGAGCCATCCTGAGCCAGGAGGCGGGGGGCCTGGTGCTGGGTCAGGGGGCACCCAGTCTGAATGGCCACCTTGTAGCCACCTCTAAGGAAGAGAAGGCAGTGCCCCCGGGGGGTTGAAGGAAGGGAACAGAGAAGGCCAAGCCCGACCCTAAAATGCTGGCTGTGTATCCTCCCAGCAGAACAGAAAACGGAGAGTGGCCCCCGGTGAGTCCAGTGGACAAGCTGGATGGACCCCACAAAGCAGTTTTAGACGTTTAGTTAATGTTTTTGTTCTTCGGGAGGAGCACTGGCCTTCCTGTGGAGCCTCTGAGAGGCAGGACTCCCCCCTCCCCCCCCTGACTTTTCTGGGAGACGGTGCTTTCCTGTTCCTTTTCATTTTTCTCGAAAAGGGAAGCTGGGACAGCTGCCGTGTGGGGGCCCTTTTTATCGCTTGTCATTTTGTGGTCGCAGAGGCGCTGCCGCCGTGTCATCGTGGGCCCTGGGAGAGCTAAGGCGGTGTGGTTCCCCCACGCTCATCGCTCCCGGCAAAGAGGAGCATTTCTCAAAGTGGGTTCCTCGGAACACAGATCCCACGGGGTGTTTCTGAGAAATAAAACTCTGTGGTCTGATGGGGTTCGAGGGATGCCGCGTGCGGACAATGTTATACGGTGACTCGCGGTGCCCGTTGCCATAGTAAGTCCTGCAGGAAGGGACCTTGTTTAACTTCGTTTAAAATAATCTTTTTTGAGCCCAGAACTCTTCCTGGCAGGAAACCAATGAATACAGAAGATAGTTTGACAACTCGTCTTAGCCTGTCGTCCAGAGTCACCCTGCTGGGCGGGGGCAGAGAGGTGGGACTGCTGTGGATATCCCAGAAATGTCCCGGCCTGAGGACTGGCCAAGCTCCCCCCCCATCCCCGCCAACCCCTCAGCCCCTCACCGACCGGCTGAGGCAACTGCTCTGCCCTCGAGGATGAGCTACCAGCCTCTGCCCTCGGGGCTGAGCTACCAGCCTCTGCCCTCGGGGCTGAGCTACCAGCCTCTGCCCTCGGGGCTGAGCTACCAGCCTCTGCCCTCGGGGCTGAGCTACCAGCCTCTGCCCTTGGGATGAGCTACCAGGCATCGTTGTTTTTTGTTAATCCTCACCTGAGGAAATTCTTTCCCACTGATTTTTAGAGAGAGAAAGAAAACACATTGATGTGAGAGAGGCACATCGATTGGTTGCCTCCCGCACGTGCCCTGACCAGGGCCAGGGATTGAACCTGCAACCCAGGTACGTGCCCTTGACCAGGAATTGAACCCGAGACCCTTCAGTTCATGGGCTGATGTTCTAACCATTGAGCGCACCTGCCAGGGCGGGCTACCAGACATCTTTACCCCACACGAGGGGACCAGGCAAGGCGCGTGCAGGGATCGGCTGGTGACCGGCTGGTGTGTGTTGGGGAGATGAGGGAGGCGTATGGAAACCAGAGCAGGGGGGTCCAACATGTGCTGAAGCATTAGGTTTACGGGAAGGGCGGTCAGAGCCTCCCCAGAGCACACCGCCCTCTACAAACCTCCGGGACTGCCGCCCGGGACCTGCTGTGGGAGAAGGGTCCGGTCTGAGATCTCTTCTTGAGGCCACGGCGCAGACTCGCTGTCCCCCTTCGGGGGAGATGGGGCATTTTATGATCCTCTCTTTGCCTTTTGCTGAGGTGGGGGGGAACTCTCTCTCTGAGGGAGAAGTGTGGCCCCGTGTTGTGTTTTGTGGTGTCTGCAGGCTGAGAAAACTTAACACCTACATAGCAGTGTGACCATCAACTTTTTAAAAATACATATACTTTTATTGATGTCAGAGAGGAAGGGAGAGGGAGAGAGAGAGAGAAACATCAATGATGAGAGAGAATCATGGATCGGCTGCC